ATGAAGTGGTAATATTGTTAAACCCTGACTTGGATAGCCCAGACTAGCCTGATCTCAGAAGCGAAGCAGGGTTGGCCCTGGCAAATATTTGGATGGAAGACCTTCACAGAATACCAGGGCGATGACGTGGAGGCATACAATAGCAACGCACCTCTGAAAACTTGAAAACTGTACGGAGTCACCATAAGACAGCTATGACTTGAGGGCAGAAAAACAAATAAATGTATGCATGCATGTTGCCGCTTCTCCCTTGTTTGGTAGATGCTTTTGAGGACTGTTTGCAGGTCCAACTCTCAACCCTGTAAGCTCTTAGGAATAAGCTACGCCAGCTTTGTGCTCTCTTTGGTCAGTTACTGAATGTGCTAAAACAGCTGCCCTTTTGTTTGTTCTAGATCACTGTTTGGCTCCTTACAAGGTGGGGCGGTGTCGAGGAGCCTTCCCTCGCTGGTACTATAATCCAACAACAATGCGGTGTGAGAGCTTCATCTTTGGGGGCTGCAAGGCCAACAAGAACAATTACTTATGGGAAGAAGAATGTAAACTTGCCTGCAAGAATGTTGCAGGTATGCTCCTTGAGTGAAGTCCTGTTACCAGATTTCAGGGTTTCAAGGGAGGAGGCAAAGACATTTGTTGAAAGCAACCAGTAATTATTTTGGTGGAATGGACCAGCCTGAGAAGTGTTGATGTGCCTAATGTGTTGAGTTGCTGTTTCTGAAGTCCTTGTGGAGAAAAGCAGTGGACCATTGTATTCTGAATATTGTGCAAACTTCTATGCTGAATGAGCCTAGAGTACGACAGTTTCTCCAAAACATGTCTCTGAGAGACAGATAGAAACTTGCTGTTTGGTGGAAACAATAAGACCTATTTTTACCTTTCTAGCCTTAGCTCATTATACTGTGTGAGATGAGAACTGAATATAGTCCTAAATTAATCTAAACTGATTTCAGTTTTGTGCCTCAGCTGCTGAATCTTTTTGATATAACAACTGAGCAATGAGCTTTTTCAGTATATAAATTTCCTTTCTCCTTCAACCATTAACACACTGGAGGGCCTACGTAATAACTTTAGATCCACTCGATACTCTGCACTACAACATGTATCACATTTCATTTGGAGATGAAAGCTAGGTCATGAAACAGGAAGGACTATAAGCAGTTATTCTACTAATTCATGATAATGTCATGCCCCTCCCATCTTCTTTTTCTTCAGGTGCTATTGAAAAACGGCAAGAACCAGGTAAGCAGTTCTGAAAATGTCCATGCTTCCAATCCTGTTTCTTTCTTGCTGACTTCAGCATTCAATACCAAACTTCCCGGGCTAGTGTCTTAGAGTGCGGCAACAGATTATACCCAATGATTAAGGTATCTGTTGAGAATTCTGCATTTCCTCCCCACCAACAATGTACCTAGCAGAGGAAGAGCCATTGGCTGACTTTCTCAAGCTGTAGTCCTGTGCCCATTTACACAAATCCCAATGAACTTGGGGTAGAGGCTGCTTCTGAGAGAACATGCTTACGATTCCCCCCATCCCTTAATTTCTCTTCTTTGTGGCTAGCTTTCCTTCAGATATTAGAGCAGTGGAGACAAGAAATATTAGCTACTGTTTGATTTCTGCATCTTCCAGCTTCCTCTGCCTGTTGGCGGGGGAGCCTCCAGGATTCTTAGCCACTGGACTCTTCGCCTTCTAGGCCTGCCATTGTATGGCAAGTGTACTGGGTTGTCAGGATTTCACTCTGTGCTTGCAGCACTGCAAAGAGGAAGCTTTTCTTGCCTTTACTGCATATTCCTTAGAACTGTGATTGGGCCACTCTGCAGGGCTACTGTCTGGTCCTGCTCTTCCCAAGGAAGACTGGTCAGAAGCAGATCACTTCCTGGAACATCTGGATTGCAGGAAGGGACAATTGTGTGCTAAGCACACAAAGGACTAAAATCTGTGTTTCTCACATAGTGTGCAATGAAGAGTGCCTGCCCTTCTATTTCAAATGCAAAGATGGATGTTGTATTGATAGTTACCTGGAATGTGATGACACCCGTGATTGCTTAGATGGGTCAGATGAGGAGTCTTGTGATTCATGTAAGTAAATGAACCTCTAACTTGGATGCCTTGGGTGGCATACTGAAAGAAAATGGGAGCCTACCAAACCAACTCCTCCCCCCTCTTAAGCTTAAGTCTTTGGCATCTCCAGCCGAAAGGATTTTGGGTAGGATGTGCTAGGAGACGTGCCGGCCTGAGATTCTAGAAAGCCCCTGCCCCTCAGAATGCACGACGACGGCACTGGGCTAGAGGGACCATTTTTGACCCCAAGGGAGCACTCATATTTGCTGTCTTTGGATGGATGGCTTCCCTGCATTCCTTCCTGGCTTTATCTTCTCTGCACAGGGTCTTCTCTGAATATGGTCTGCAAAGAATCGTAACTACTTTTCCTTCTGTTCCCATTGATTCAAATCTCAGCAAATACAGTTTTTGCAGCTGCTGCTCTATCAAGGTGGGGTGCGTCCTTGATGCATTTTAATTGGATACTTCCCTTGGGTCTTGGTTCCAGGTCTTCTGTTAGATGTCTTTTGGAACTGATCCAGTATAGCAAATGGATGTCTCCCTTCATAAGAATTACTTTAATTAAACTACCTCTGGAGAGGACATGATGCATCATCTTGTCTGTCATTGCAAGTGACAGATCATCCCCTACAATATTTAGCCATTATATTAATATATCCCATATAGCCTTCAAAGTCTACTCTGAAATTTAAAACAAATTCCTAGAGGTAGTTTGCATACGCAGGGCAGAGGCTTCTTTTCTTGTCTTGTGATCCCTTCTCTTTAACCCTGAGTCAGGCTCATGTGGAGAAACATCAACATAAATGGGACTGAATTCTGATACAGCCTTTAACAGCAGTATTTTTGCAGCACTTGCAATTGCTGCTGGCTGTGTCAGTGAGCTGCCAAGTCCATAATGAAGTTTTTCTCCTCTTGTTTCTGTATTCAAAAGTTGGGAAGGGTTGCATGGAGAGAAAGCAAAATGGGCACCTTGCATGCGCAAACTTGCCTGTCAAGTGACGCCATTATTTCCCTTTACTAATCTCATTTTGTCATCATTTCCATTTTTAGGCTGTTGCATCTGTGCTCCTCGTACCTTGATTGGATTTTTAAAAAACAGATCTTTACTATAGCCAGGACTGTGTGTATACCCAATTTAAAGGGAGCACCACATGTAGTCTTCGTACAAAGCTCAGCATTCTGGTTTTCATTTTACTCTACAGCAAAGCAAACTTTTTCCAGCTGTTGTGGCTGGGAAGAGATGCTTGCAAGTGTTGGCCATGTTCACTGAAGTCTCAGAATTCAGTAAGGAAATCTGAACAAAGCTGTTAAGTCACACAATGTGTATAGACTGACCACAGTAGTGTAGTGAATCAGGATTGCTTTTGCTACTCCACCCAAGTGTCTTCAGCATAACTTCATTTAAAAAAAGTACTCTGGGCAGAGCATGCTTGCACTCAAGTTGCACTTTTAAAGTCAAAACTATGGTGAACAAGAACTAAACAGAAACCATTTTAATAGAACAGAGTTTTGACAATGACAAAGGTTGCTTTAAATAGTTTCTGGGGCTGAATTCTTGCTGGAAAAGGATTCTCTCTATGAATCCCTTTTCATGTAAGAAACACATTCTGCTGTAGCAAAGTTAATTGGCTCAGGGGGAGGGGGAGCCTAACTGCTTCACTAAACGGTTTTGTTTAACCATGTTAAGCCCCGGTCACATGTGCCAGGTAACACGGAGGGGAGGAGAGGCTATTTGTACCATCGCAGTTTGACCCGCCACTACGCAATCAGACGCGATGGCGGTGAACTGGTGTTTTTTCCGTCAGCGCGTGTTTCTGGCATGCTTCGAGGGAGCACGGACGCAATAGGAGTGCACTGGAGCGATCACATGGGAACCTTCATCTGCGGGCCATCACAAACCCCTTTGATAGTGGACTTTCACTGATGGTTTTTAACTGTACTTCTTCGGCGGGAAGAAATGGGTTGGCGACGGGTACAGGGCGCTTGCCAGATGTTCCCCTGTGATCGCGCCCGTAAAATCCACCCGGCATTTATCCCTATCATGCAGCTAATTCTGTGTGTGACCGGACCCTTAGTTGGCTTTTGGGAAGTGGTCTGTTCTTCTTTGCTTCTATAAAGTCCCATCATAATGCCAGAGTCTCCTGAACTCAGCAGCACTGTCACAGAATCTTCTGTTTGTAGTTCTGTTCCACTGTTCCTCAGGTAACAGTGCATGACTAAGGTCCATATATTCAGGTCGCTTGGGCAGGGCCAGTGGGTGGATACAGGTACTCTTCATGGTTGCTTAGGGTTAGTCTTTCTATTCAGCACTGTGGAATTGCATGCATTATAGTGACATCAAGGTACAAAAACATATTGGCATCTCTTTGAGTTGGTTGTGGGACGGCATCATCTTGGCTGCTAGCCTGTGTCTTCGGTTTAAAATCCCATTGCAGTGCTGGCTCTTTCCTAACTCCAGCTCTTTTCCTGTCGCTGTAGCTCATTTGTTTCTCTGTGGTAAGTCCTCCATTTTCCCTGCACTGTGTCCATCTCACCTGCTGGGTGGCTGGTTTCAGGTTGCCAGTGTGTAGAACAACAGGGACAGCTTGAGGAAAACCTTGAGCAATCAAAACAAACACTCCAGGGAAATAGCCCTGAATTAAGGAAATGTCTCTCAACAACTCAATTCCGCTTGTGTTTTCTGCACCAGTTATCCAATGCACTGTACTCATTCCAGGTCCATTCAGCACAGCTTCTGAACTGCACATACAGTCTGTATTTCCAGTCGGGGGTACTGCTGCTTTTTGCAGGATCATGATTGCATGTGGAGAACTAGCACATTTATAATTTGTGCATGTATAGTAATAGTCAGCATTTGAGGGGGGGAGGGTGTAGCAGGCACAACCCTCCCCATAATGCATTGGATGGAAAAGGCCAGTGGTTTTCAGTGGGTTCACTGTGCACCATCAAGACAGTTAGCTATTTGGGGTAACATCCTGGGCATGGGAAGCTCTGTCTGATCATTACTCCTGTTTCGTAAAGACTTCAATTCCCAGGGGCGACTGCTCTTAAAGATATATGGCAGTTTTACTTAACTACAGTGAAACGCTGGCTGGGGGCAGCACAGTTCCCCCTCCTAATTGTGGCCGCCATACTAACACAACTCCCTTCTTCTCTCTTTATAATTGTAGGTCATATAATTTTGGAGACATGCAATTAAACTTTCATTAAATAGTTTTATATGAATTTGCTGACTTCCCCACCTCTGAACTTTCCTCTCAAAAGTCTCAACATTAAATGCAAATTAGATGCATTTATTCCTAGGCATCCTTGGAATGCAGAAGTCAGCCATGGGTGGGGGTGGCAGCAGGAGCTTCTGGGGATGGGCCTTGAAGGAAAGCACACACTGCAGTTTGAGAACATCCCAAACCCCCACATATAAAAACAAAATTGCCATTTTCCACTGATCTGCTAAGTTTAAAACATATGTCTTGGGTTTTTATGTGTTGGAAAAGGGGGTGGAGAGAATGGAGACTGCTTTTCTAAAGGAAAGTAGTTGTGGACTCTGCTCCTGAATGAAGCATGGGAGGTGATGGAGTTATTTAGTAGTGAGGGAGAAGTGCTCTTAATGTGTTCAGATGTACCTTTTCTTTCTGCACTGGAGTTCGGAAATAGAATTCTGAATAAAGTCCTGGTGATGTCTTGGAACAGATTAAGTAATTCTTGAGGGCTAGGCATATTGATATGTTGTAGCAAACCCCAAAAGCAATCTCAGGCCACCTCAAAGACTAAGAGATTTAGCATAGTGGAAACTTTCATGGTTGTTTAAGATTCAAAGCAGATTACATAGTGTACGTCAAGTACAATCAACAGGATGAGACATCCAGTGAAAAGTACAATAAGATTAGGACTATGAAAATCTGAAAACAAACAAACAATAAGATTAGGACTACGAAAATCTGAAAACAAACAAACCTAAACGGAGCTGAAACAAAGCATAAGTATTTAAATATGATATGTTAAAATGGTGTAGTAACTATCTAGCCTAGAGCATACTTAACAGTGATAGCCATCAATGCAGAAGTGTGGGCTACAGTCCCTATCTCCTTATCAATGCATCTTTCTGAACCATTTCATTACAGTACAGTCCTGTTTACCTGTGCAGAAAAAGCCTTGAATAATTCTGTTTCACAGAGCTAGAGCCTATTTTATCAGATGCATGCAGGGAATCCTCAGTCAGTAGTCATGGAGTTAAAACAGCATGAAAGTATCAGTTGTGACATTTCTGTGTAAAACGCAGAAGTACTGGATAAAAAACTTGGTGACCATTTACAATAGCTGCTCTCAGAATGTATATTAAAAGTAAGAGGGAAAAATGCTTGTTAACGTAACTTATTTTTGTTGGAGAATTCACTTTCTTCTGGCATAGAACATGGATTTTTTTCCCCCAGGTAGGGTGTTTTCCAAATTGAGAGTCTTACATTATTGAGTGAAAAGATCTGTCATTTTGAGCAGTTTTCTTTTGGTGTCTTTTGCAGATATTCAAATGTTCAATAAATTTCAGAAGATAAATGTTACAGACAACCAAGGTAGGTATATCATTAGTGCTGATGGAACGAGCTCCAGATGTGACAAAAGTCCTAATTGCTACACCTGCCTTCTCCAAATGCAGTTGTCGCTGAAGAGAACCAAACTGGAATTGGGTTGCGATTTTGTCATTCTGATCGGTATTGGCAGAAATGCTGCGCTATATAGGTGAGTATAGTCTTGATAAGCACTGCTTATTCTCCTTTGACAGGTCACTGTATGGATTTGCCAGACACTGGGTTGTGCCAAGAGAGCTTATCCCGCTGGTACTACAACCCATTCACTGAGAGATGTGATCGCTTCACCTATGGAGGGTGTGAAGGCAATAAGAATAATTTTGAAAAGGAAGAAGACTGTATGAAATCCTGCAAAGGCATCACGAGTAAGTAAGAACCTTAAGAAGTGGAGAGGAAGTGTGACATCTCCCCAGAGTAAATCCCTCCGCTATAATTTCTTGACACTATGTCTTGGCTCGTGATCAGCAGAATAAAAATTCATTATCTTTCAGTCCTAGAGTATCCCCTAGCATACTTTTTCAAATTGCTTACATTCATGGGAGGTGGTGAATAGCCATGATGGTCAGAATAGGTGCAGTCTTTCCAGACAGAATAAATTTCTGGCTACTAGATGCTGGGAGTGAACAAAATTATTATGCATATCTTGCTTTGCTTGTGAATGTCCATGAATTTCTGGGTGAATGCTGTAAAGAAATGATCTTTATGGATTTGTCATCCGTCCCATGTTGCCATATTGGTATCTCTCTTTATATATAATTGTGTTTTGGAGTGGCAGTTTGCAGCTCTCCCATTGGCTGTGCAATGCACTCCCTCAGCCATTGGCCCGTCAGCCGCCACTCAAGAGTACTCGCGTGCCATTGGCCGGGTGCTGGTTCTGCTCCTCTTTCCCGCCCACTCCCCCTTCAGCCACTGTGCTCTGTCAGAATTACTGGCAAACAGCTTTCTCTCTTGACAAAGAAAAACTGAAGAGTGAGGGGGAAATAAAGGCAGATTGATGATTGGCTGGGAAGGAGATAGGGTTGCCAACTCCAGGTGGAAAATTCCTGGAGATTTGAGGGATAGAACCTGGAGAGGGTGAGGTTTGAGGAGGGGTGGGACCTCAGACAGGTACAATGCCATAGACTCCACCCTCCCAACCAGCCATTCCCTCATGGGGAACCACTGTTGCCAATCCCCAGGTGAGGGGTAGAGATCACTCAGAATTACAACTGATCTCCAGGAGGGAGGGGGGAAGAGATGGAAAGCTGAAATCAGAGGGGCAGATAATGAAAGGTTGATGCTTGGCTGGGAAGGAGATAGGGTTGCCAACTCCAGGTTGGGAAATTCCTGGAGATTTGAGGGGTGGAGCCTGGAGAGGGTGAGGTTTGAGGAGGGGTGGGACCTCAGACAGGCACAAGGCCATAGACTTCACCCTCCAAACCAGCCATTTTTTCCTGGGGAACCATTGTTGCCAATCTCCATGTGAGGGGTGGAGATCACTAGAATTACAACTGATCTCCAGGAGGGAGGGCAGAAGTCAGCTGCAGTCAGAGGGGCAAATAATGATAGGTTGATGGTTAGTTGGGAAGGGGATGGGTTTGCCAACTCCAGGTTGGAAAATTCCTGGGGATTTCAGGGATTGAGCCTGGAAAGGGTGGGGTTTGAGGAGGTTGCCACAGCAAATTGACATTGAGTGTCCAAGGCCTTGGCACTCTCCCAGAGCCTCTTTCTCGAGTTCATTGTATTTATTTCCACAATAGGCCTTATTCCTAGTTTCCCATATTTCTAATGTTGTGGGGAAAGTTATCTTTTACTAAGGTTTTTTTGGGGGGTTGGGGTTGTATTTTGTTGGTTTTAAATTATAGTCCTATAATTTGTAAGCCACCTTGAGCTGCAAGGAAAGGTGGGATACAAATATTTCAATAAATGAATTCTAGTGGTCTGTCTGTTTGGCACTTGGCATCAAGTGGTGAATTGGTGTCTCAGGAAGAATTGCTTTCCAGTTGCACCAACATATAGGCCCTTTGATTATAGGCTCTTTTGGAGTATCTAAATAAGTTCTTAAGTCATTCATTCCAATGCTTTTGAAGTGCTTTGTGTCCTACAGTAGCTGTTTTGAGTGCTTAAAAGAACAGTACAAAAATTAATCTTGGGCATCTGTAAACAGAAATTACATTCAAGAATTCAGTTTTTCGTATCAAAATAGCCAAGAAAAATAGGTGATACTCAATATTGCATCTTTTTATTTCTCTCCTACCCCCTCCTCCGGTAATCTGTTAATGGACGAGATGAATAATAGGTATACACCATAACTTGATAATCTTTAGGTACATCCCGGTGGATAACAATATGATGCAATTTATGAGATATTTTGACAGATGTTGTATTTAATGCTTTTTTAAAATGTACAGTATTATGTCTCTGAAAGGCTTTTGCCATTATGAAGCATGGTTGTAAGGTGTTGTGTTATTCTTTCTCTCTGAAGAGGCTGATGTGATTGGCCAGAGATGGAGTGGACACGAAGCTCGACGTGAACATTTAAGTATGTAACTGAATCCCTATGAGGGTTGGGAATTGGGGCATTTCTACCTAAATGAACTAAGGCTTACTTTAATATAGCAGAAACTGATTTCTCCATGCCTACTTCCCTTCTGCATATCACACCTAATCCAATCACGCCTGCTATTGTCATCCAGCTGCTATGGTCATTTGCCTGCTAATGTCATTTGGCATCTGAAATCACTCCACTTTCCAATTTATAGGAGTGATGGACTCACATTCTAGCTGTATCTGAAGAAGAGAGTAATGGCTCAAGAAAGCTCATACCCTACCACAAATGTTGCTAGTCTTTAAGGTGCTACTGGACTCTTATTGTTTTCTAGTATATCAAAAACTATTATGGAACTGCTTTATGGGGATTTTCCCCCACACTCTCATTTCCAATGTTATTATTAACGTAAGAACATAAGAGAAGCCAATGTTGGATCAGGCCAATGGCCCATCCAGTCCAACATTCTGTCACACAGTGGCCAAAAATACCAGGTGACATCAGGAGGTTCACCAGTGGGCCCAGGACACTAGAAGCTCTCCCAGTGTTGCCCCCCCCCCCCAAGCACCAAGAATACAATGCATCATTTGCCCCAGACTGAGAGTTCCTATCTATACCTTGTGGCTAATAGCCACTGATGGACTTCTGCTCCATATGCTTATCTAATTCCCTTTTGAAGCCGTCCATGCTTGTAGCCGCCACCAACCCCTGTGGCAGTGAATTCCATATGTTAATCACTCTTTGGGTGAAGAAGTACTTCCTTTTATCTGTTCTAACCCGACTGCTCATCAACTTCATTGAGTGCCCACAAGTTCTTGTATTGTGAGAAAGGGAGAAAAGTACTCCTTTCTCTACCTGCTCTATCCCATGCATAATCTTATAAACCTCAATCATGTCACCCCTCAGCCGATGTTTCTCCAAGCTAAAGAGCCCCAAGCACTTTAAACCTTTCTTCATAGGGAAAGTGTACCCTTTTATCATTCTAGTTGCCCTTTTCTG